CACTTTCCATGCCAAACGCTCCCTCTGAATCCCTAGAAAAAAAACTGGTCTCTCATTTCTTGCGCCAATCTTAGCCCCGAACACGCGCCGCCAACCGTTTTCTTCCGTTTTTCTCGCGCATCCAGTTTGTTTCCATTGGTCTCGCTCATCTTGGCTGCGAACACCTGACCCCGCCACGGCTTTACCCAATCTAATTCTGCTCCAAAACGAGCCTCCTCTGGTTGCACTTTCCATGCCAAACGCTCCCTCTGAATCCCTAGAAAAAAACTGTTCTCTCATTTCTTGCGCCAATCTTAGCCCCGAACACGTTTTCCATTGGTCTCGCTCTTCTTGGCCCCGAAGACCTGACCCCGCCACGGCTTTTCCCAATCTAATTCTGGTCGAAAACGAGCTTCCCCTGGTTGCACTTACTAGTAGTAACAAGAAGCTACTAGGAACAAGTGCATCGCTACGAGGCGCTGCCGGGGAGGGTTTGAGGGGGCGGACTTCTCTCATACCTGCAGCATGTGTCTGACCCCTAAGTGACGGTACTCCCTTGCGCGCTCCCCCTTCTTCGACCGGGGTCGGCGGATTCTGGTCCAAAACGAGCCTCCCCTGGACACTTTCGCTCCCAAACGCTGCCTCTGAATCCCTGAGAAAAAAAGAAGTTTTCTTTTCTTCCATTTTTCTCGCGCATCCTGGCCCCGAACACCTGGTGCCGCCACAGCTTTTCCCCATCTAATTCTGGCCCAAAACGAGCCTCCCCTGGTTGCACTTTCGCTCCCAAACGCTGCCTCTGAATCCCTAGAAAAAAAAGACGTTTTCTTCCATTTTTCTCGCGCATCCTGGCCCCGAACATGTGGTGCCGCCAGCTTTTCCCCAGCTAATTCTGGTCCAAAACGAGCCTCCCCTGGTTGCACTTTCGCTCCCAAACGCTGCCTCTGAATCCCTAGAAAAAAAGACGTTTTCTTCCATTTTTCTCGCGCATCCTGGCCCCGAAGGTCCAAAACGAGCCTCTTATGGTCGCACTTTCGATCCCTCTACCCCCAAGCCCCCAAACAGCTACCCGTAATCCCTGGCGCGCTCCCCCTTGCAACGGCGGGGTCGGCGGATATAATATGATATATATATATATATGGAAGACCAAGATAGATTATTAGTGCGGTTCAGAGGCTGTACCTTAGATTCTCAGATTATACTACTTGTGGCTACCAACAAAAGCATTTGGAAGGTTGGATGTCGCATGAAGTTGGATGTCTCCCTTTGCTATTTTGTTGTGCGGTTTCCGGGCTCTTTAGACTTACACTAGTTCGATGAGCTCAGGACTTGGCAAAGATGATGTCGCAGGGGGAGGACGGTGGCTATTTGTCCGCAGAGGACGTCCAAAGCGTTCAAGTGTTCTTTGTAAAGTGCCAGGACTTCTGTCATTTTGATGCCAATGGCGCTCGCCTTCGATCTATCATTGAAGCCAATTTGCCTTGGACACTCCAATTTGACACCTTTCACGTGGCAAGCCCTGCCGAGAATGTGAAGACTAAGCCGAAGCTCAAGAGTTGGAAGGCTGCCATTGTGGGCGCACATCCTTCATTGTGTGCTGACATCGCCCATGCTGTGGATCGAGCCTTGGGGGGACAAAGTGAACATCAATATTTTGGCCTTAGCTGCCCTGGGCACCACTCTGCTTCTCATCACTGTACTTTTCGTTGTGAGGTGTGCCGTCCTGAGTTTCAGACTCACAAGACTTCACACTGTAAGACTGTGTACACAAGAAAATGTTATAATTGGGTTTTATATGTGTCTACCCCCGACACTTTGTTGTCCTTTCTTTACTACTAACTCGGGTGTCTTGAGGCTTGGCCAATGCTCCAATGATGCAATGTTCGACCGGATTCTGGGGCAAATGCTGAATTGGGGAGAGTTCACAGAAAGACCCTTTGACCCTAAAGTGCCTTGGTGCCCCAAGCGGTGCCCCCAACATGCTACACACAGTGCTACACACTTTTCATGTGTGTTTCATCTATCTCAGTCTCATTTCAAGAGTTCCATGATGTTCCATGCCAATTTGTTCAGTAATTAACCAATTTGATCATCAGGTTCTCCTGAACGAGTTGCGCAAGATTGTTTCGTCCAGCAAGTTTCTATCCTCGGCCGACTTGCAGATTTGCACAGGGCCATATGTTCTATGTCATATGATGCAGTTGATCCTTGACGTGCCACTGTTGGTGTATTTGGGTGGAGTCCTCAGTCCATGCAGTGCGGGCCAGGCGGCCAGTGCAAAATCCATAGTCCCTGAAGATCTGAAGAGGCTATCAGACCTTCTAGCTGGAGGGTACAGATGCATATACTATCTTTTTATGACTACAAACAGCCCAAGAGTGGAAGAGTGGGACAAGTATGGGTTGTTTAAGTGCCACCAATTTGGTGCTTGAGGCTTAACCCTGACCTATTTGGCAGCGGAAAACGTGGAAGAATTGCTGCTCTCTGCAAGATCCATTGCATCAGACTTCACGAACTTGGCAGGCAACAAGTCGGCATTCTGATAGTATCCTACTTTGAATCAAAGTCGCTGGCAGGTGCAGTGGGTCCTCGACGTAGAGCGCTTGTGACCAGATTTAAAGGTTTGGCAGTGCATGGCATTGATGAATCCAGGTGCACAGCGGCAACAGCCCCGAAAGCACTACTGCATTCACACTTAAGGTCGTCACTGACCTGATCCGAGCAGCCCAGTTCCACCATGCAACTGGAGTATGGGTCCCCGCTCTTCCTCCATTGTCGTTCTATCATGCAGATCCAGCTCAAGGAGGCTGCAGTGGTTTGCGGTAGGCAATTTGGATTTGGCTTACAGTGAAATGTTCACAGCAGAGATGCGACAAGATGATGTGTTGTTTCATTTTGGAGTGTGCTTGAAGATCACGAATGAAGCATCAACGCTTATTGGATCATTGCTTATGGTTCTAGAGGAGATGTTTAAGGGCCTTTGTGCTTTTATTGCATGCAAGGCAGTTTTGCCACTGTTGCATGAAGGGCGGCATGCCATCATGCCATGATCCTTTGCTGGACTTTGCTTTCCCTGCTGCTCCTAAAGACTCAAAGACTGTCATATGTTCAGCTAGCCTGCCTTCATCTCTTGGCGTCCTGAGACATGCACCTCCACACTAAACGAGCAAGTGAGAAGCTTGGATTCAACTCAAAGCACATGCGCCGAGCCTCAATTTCTCTCCCACGATATGTGTGTGTGTGTGCACGTTTGGCAAGCGGAGGATTGCGTCAAAGATTTACGGATTACATATGATTACATGGATTGCGGGTAGGTTACAGTATGGTTGTTTTTCGCAATTCCCAGTGTGCCCATGTGAACACAAAAGGACCCCCTTCGAATCACTGAAGGAGTAAACGTCATAATTGGAAGTGAAGTGCTCCATTTTGGCATTGAAGCCGTTAATGCCTTACCTCACCCCATTTGAGACTAAGATAATTCACTTAACTACTGTACTAGGCACGTGAGCGATATCATGTTTTTTTTGCTTAGTGTGTCAGTGTGCACAGTTGCACAAGCAACATCAAGCAACATGTATGCAAGCAAGACCTTCACTGTGAGTACAGCCTGATGTTGCCCTGCAAAAACCACAAACCCTGCATCTTCACAGTGCACCTAATGTTGGTGGGGTGGTGGTGTTGCTGATGGTGTTGGCGGTGGTGGAGATCAGGAGAACAGCAAGCAATGGTTCATGCACAAAATGTCCGCCGCTCCCAATGTCCTGTTCCTTTTTCTGACCGACTGACGCCCCAGACAAAGACGCCTTATGCTGAAAGATGTAGCATGCTGTAGCAATGTAGATCAGCTAGAATATCTCAAAATATTCAAGGAAAGAATGAAGCCCAAAGAGAGGCAAACAGGCAGGGTGATAGCATTCAAACCAACACCAAGACCTAAGAGAGGCAAGACATTGATGATCAATTGCCTGAAGCCCACCCAGAAACCCTCAAAGTCCACACATGACATACAGTCCTATGAGAAAAAGTTTGAAGCAGCGTTGCTACAAAACGGATCAAAACTGCATGACTTAGACGCTGGAGTCGCCTTAGCTCATCTCGAAAAGATGCAGATGCTGCCACTTGAAGCTCAAAATTATTTGATTGACAATTGGCAACACCAGATGCGCATATTTCACTGATCAAGCCATATCAAGCCTTTGCAGAAACCAACAAAAAGGGCTCCGGTTGGGAACAGTGTCTCCGGACAAAAGAGGACGCCACCATCGTGCCAAAAGAGTTGAAGCAATCGCACTTCGACCTGAACTTTGGCGCTCGGTACCCAGAGAAAGGGCAGCTCTAAGACTTATCGCTTGGTCCGGCCTCTAAGACATGCTAAAAGAGACTGGTAAGTGCCTAAGGCTTGGGAGTCAACTACCCCTCGCGAGAAACAATCATACATCTTGGAGACTTGAGATCGATGCCTATTTGTGCCAAGGCCGCGCTGCGTTTGGTCCTGGACTTCGTGGATTGCTGCGGCACTTCTGTAATTCCAACACGGGTGTTGTACTTTGGCGTGCTTTCATTGCACACATTTTGACTTGTATCGCGCCTGGCGGCAGAGGCATTTCAAACTCATTTCTTGCCGCTCAGAAGCTTGTCTGCAATGGAGGATATGGAGGTCTAATGTGATACTCTGTGTCATGTTCAAAGCTGCAGTTTGTGGTGCATTGTACGTGGGGGTTAGGAAGAATACTTTCGTATGATGCTGCTATCCTTGTCCCATGGGACAATGATGTCATTGGCTGAGTGCAAGACAAATGTGCATGCATTGACGAACAACAATGGAGTACAAGAGCACAGCTGCACAGATGTATGCCATGGTGTAGTTTGCGTTGGCATTCCTTTCTAGTTACTAGTTCTTTCTCACTCTCCCTCTCACTCTCACTATATGCCTCTCAGCTCTGTCTTGACTGTTTCCTTCGACAATGCAATTGTCAACTTGTCAGGTCATGTCGTTTTACGAGCTCTATCATGCCGCCTTCTACTCAGTTGGAGAAGTTGATTTTCGTGGTCGCGTTTGCAATCTAGTAGTCTAGCACAACCCTTTGGGGGGATATAACATGACCGTAATATCGTCAGAGACACGATCGTCACAGCCATGACCTGTTCAAGGCCATGCCACTGCTGATGCCGAGTGAAATGCTTATGAGCAAATGGCTTCCAGCAGTACGTTGGGGATCTCTTGAGTTTGATCGAGATCGCGGCACAGGTTCAGCAAAGCGTCCAGCATGTTTGATGCGTTTAGGCAAAAGCCCAGCCTGCTTCGTTCCATGGATGAACCAATCAACCTTGCAAAGTGCGATGGACGGTGGCGCAGCCAGCTGGATTGGAGCAACAGACTATTATCGCTTTCCACATATACTGCACTTCCATTCGGTTGCATCTCTGGTTGGAAAGTTACAAGGGCCTTTGGCAGCTACAAGGTCTGGGATGAGAAAAGCAAGCCAGGAAATTCGCTCTCAAACCTTGTCACTTCATAGAAGGCTACTTGGACACTTGCTGGGATTTGGAGACTCTGAGAGGTTTCCACGCCTGGCTCTCAGCAGCTGTAGCAAACTGTGTAGTAGAGTTTGTGGATGTTTGTAGTAGATGCTGTGGGTCCAGCGTACGCTTGTTGCTGCAGGCTTCATGCCTACACAAGCACCCAACCACTGGAATCAGCTGCCACTGGGTGGCACCTGCAAGCTTGGCTTTATCGCTCAAGCTGACTTCCCACAGGCGAGTCCTCTTTCCACATTTTACCATTCAAAGTATTTGCAGGTTCAAAACCAAATCCTGGTGTGATTGTGAGCAACTTGCATTGATGTGATTTTATGTTTGCAGATCGAGCCACATTCCTCACCTTTTCTCGGACTCCGTCAATGCTTGCGATTGTGCGATGAAACTGCTGGATGCGAAGTGGCAGCCGCTCATCTTGGCTCAGATACGTAGCTTCTGGCAAACGTTACTCCTTGCCGTGCTCCTTTTGTTTGTTGTCAGTGTTTGTCCCCAAAGAAGTTTGATATTGACAAACAATGCAAGACTTAGAGATACTTAGAGTATGTGCATATGCTATGTAGTTATATAAATATATTATATATATATACAATGTAGATATATTATATATTTACATAGATATATGATATACACTATGTTTCTTATAGATATATTTATACAAATACAGTATGTTGAGACGCATGTGTACATGATTTTCTTGTTTTCGATAGCAAGTTGTTGGAGCTTCAGATACAAGCTGAGCAGGTCTTCAATGGCCTAACCTGCATGGTCTATGACGAATTCTGCAATGCAACAGACCTCCGTCGTGAAGGCAAGTTTGGCAGTTTGGCCACATGGTCATGTCCAAGGTTTCGCAAGCAACTCATAGTTCTTTGTAAGAGCCTGATGGTTTTGGTTTTGGGGTCTCAAGGTATTTCGGGTGTCCAACGCAGGAGATCGCAATGGCTATGTAGCTTGGAAGCGTGATTGAATGTCAAGAAGATCTTAGAGGTCTTGGCTCGTGATGCTCATGCTTCATGCTTGCCGACATGCCCGTGCTGGTGGCCAACATGCTTTCCGGGTGAAGAAATTCATCTCGACAGTGGCAGTGTGGTGGTAAGGGTCAAGGCGCTCAAGCATCACCTCGACGCAAAACGGCATTGGCATTCCACTTGGAATGTAATCGATGAAGGGCAATATCCCTGATGACTGTCCAATCAAAGAATAATTGCGATATTCAACTCATTCAATCAAATAATCAAAAAATATATTAATTAGATCAATAAATTACACCACCGTCGGCCCCGAACAGTTGACCGCCATATATTTGCATCTCCAAAAATTGCCATTGGAAGGTATTGCTTTTGCCAGAAGGCGGACGCAATAGCCCAGACTGGGAGACTGGGAGACGAATATAAATTGCGATTGAGGGTTTGCCAGCAGGCGGACACTGGGAGAAAAATGTCAAGTTTGCTACTAAGCCAGCACTTGCCAGAAGGCGGGCACACTGGCCAGACTGGGAAACGAATGTACTGGTAAAGTCATAGTGTACCCCGCTGGAACTGGAACTTGAACTGGAACTGGACCCCCCCCGGGGAAAAAAAAGACATCGACGCTAAACTGACGTTGGCAATCATGTCCAGACCCGGGCCCCGAACTGGAATTGGAAGTGGAACTGGAACTGCATCGACGCTAAACTGACATTGGTAATCAAGTCCAAACTCGGACCCAGAACTGGAAGTGGAACTGGAACTCGAACTCCCCCCCGCGAAAAAAAATCGACATTAAACTGACGTCGCCAATCACTTCCAGACTCAGACCCAGAACCGGAAGTGGAATTGGAACTGGAACCCCCCTCTCCCCAGTCTGTTTCCTGTGTTGGACGACGTGGAACTGGAACTGGAACTGGAACTGGAACTCCCCTCCCCCCCTCCCCAGTCCACAAGTTGGACTCACTGGCCAAGATTGTAAGAAAGGAGGAAGCTCAAGAATGGCGTAGTTGCTAGTTGCTAGAAGGCGGACTGTAATAGCCCAGCGTAGGAAATTATGTGAAGCATTGCTACCAAGGAGCTGCTAGTCAAAACTAGTCGGAGATAAATGTAAAGAATTGCAACCGAGGAGTTGTTAGGACGTTACTAGAAGGCAGGCAATGTAAAGATTTGCTACTATAAGGAGTTGCTAGTAGGCGGACACATAAGGCTGGGAGATACATGTAGAGAATTGTCTAAATTGGCGGTAGATAAATATATAGAATTATTATTAATGAATATTACGAAAGGCAGCCTTCGTAGAAGGCGCTAGTTGAGGTGTGCTTGGCGAACGTAATGAGTAGTTTGGGGGGGTGGCCCGCAAAAGATACACGTAAATTCGGTATATGTTGGGGGAGGAGGGGATGGATGGAAGGTTTTTTGAGGTGATTTTTGAGGGGTGGTAACGCAAGAAATGTAATTTGTATTATTTATAGCATTTAAATGGTAAGGTGTAATTGGTACCTTGTTAGGTATAGATATTTAGGATAGTTATAGTGTAGTTACTAGGTATAATATTTTAAATTCCCTTTCTATTAACGGCTCGATAATTTTTAGATACGCATAATAATCCGCAGCTTTGAAATTTTATGCGCGCGATACTTGGAAACAGAATGATAGTTACTTTGGATTCGTATAAATATTATGTTGTTATATTTTTTACATATTTATATAAGTGTGTAAAGATTATCGAGCGATTAACGGAAAGGAAATTGGAAATATTATATTTGACAATTGAATTGTAGTTACCCTGGGCATTTATATTTGGTAAGGCGCTAGTTTTGGGGGGGGTGGTCTGAGAAAGCACATTCGAAAGTAGGTGGTGTGTAGGGGTGCACGGAAGGAAGGTTTTGGAGTTGTTTTTTGTGATTTTAAGAAATGTAATTGTCTTCGGTTGGTTGTAGTGCTATATACTTGGCAATTGAATTGTAATTACCCTGGGTATACCTGAAAATTGTTTTGTAGCTGCCTTGGGTCCGCGCACGCGTCTAAATTACGGGTAGCCGGAAGTTAGCATGACGCGCGCGCGGACCTAGAGTAGGGAAATTGAAGTGGGATATCTGGCAATAGAATTGTAGTTATCCTGGGTCCGAAAAAATGCTATGTTGTTATACCTCTTACACACCTATATAAGATTAATGCAAGAATGAGATTTTAAAGCTGAGGATTGCTGTGCGTGTGCAAAGGGTTATCGAGCGATTGACGGAAAGTACTATATTTGGTAATTGAATTGTAGTTACCCTGGGTATTTATACCTGCGCCAGCTGAGTAAGAAGGGGGGTTCGGGGGGTAACCTGAGAAAGCACACTCGAAAGTAAAAACGCTGGCTTTCGTTTTGCAGCTTCTCAGGTTTGGAAGGTGGATGCGATAATTAGCCGAGAGGGGGGAGGTATATATTTGGAATCTTGATTAAATTTGTTGGAAGATTGATAAAATACGATTAGAAGATTAATTCACTTCCTATTTATAGTTCGAATCGATTTTTTACGAAAATGAATGTTTTAGTAATGTATTGAATTTATTTTGCGAAGTAATTATGATTTGTTTCGAATTGAGTAATTAGGATTTTAGTTTAGTCTTTATTTGATTCTTTTGAATTGATTGTTTAAAATATTTTTATTGTTTTGAATCGTGTCTTTTTGAAGTTGCTTATATTTATGGGAATTATTTAGTTTATAAATATAACGGTAATATTGATTATATATTGAATATATGTATATACGTATATATTATAATTTTTATATATTTTGGGATTATGTATATTTTAATTATGTTGTATTTGGCTTAATGATTTCGTGTTTTATGGCAAGTTGCTCGAAGAACATAGTTTGTTATGTAGCGATTCGCGAGGTTTGGCGTAAGTATCCCTTTTTTGTGTAGGCGGGATTTAGTTTGCGCCGTTATGGGCGCCGGGGCGGCGTTGGAAATGCTCGCCGGCTTAGCGGGTCTTAATGCGTTTGAGATTAACGTTATTGAGCGTGGCGGTTGGAATAGGATTCGGTTGGTTACGTTGGCTGACCGCCCCGGCGATGTGCTTAGAAGAATTCGTACCTAGCGTGGAGGACTTGGTGGGTCGCTTTTCGATGAGGGCATCGATGATCTATGTGGTCGATGCCAAGAAAGGTTCTTAGGTCTTGTTGGATGCATAGGTGGTTTATTAACGAGAAGTTCGAAGGCGGAATTATGAGGAGAACGTGAATATTGAGATGCGAGTAAAGGTGGACTTGGTCTACCCGTCTAGGACAAAAGTTGCATCTAGCAGCGGACGATTTTTTTCTGAGGGAGCTGGTAGAACGGGATGAATATAATCGTTGGGTGAAGGAGATCAAGGACCTCGTCAAAGCGGCCCGCTTGCCGGTCGCAATACGGTCGGGCGAGGAAGCTCTCATGATCCGGGTGGCCAAAGGCCGGAAACTAAATATATTGAGAAAGCACGTGAAAACGTGGCAAAAGGTGGCGGGCTGGTTGAAGGCCACCTTTGGTTGCGCGTGGCCGGACTCGGCCGAACTGTTCGCGGAATTCCTCGAGACGATGGTGGAAGAACCCTGTGCCAGAAACTTTCCGGAGTCTGCATACAAGATGCTCATGTTTCTGGAATACATAGGAGAAGTACCTGAGGAACAACAATTCAGCCGGTCGCCTGCCATCAAGAATGCCCTGGAGGAGTCAGCATTGAGGTTGCAGTCGGTCGAACTCAAGCCGGCGAAGAAGGCCCTGCTGATTCCGGTAGCCATCGTTGTGGCATGGGAAGCCTGGGTTTGCAATGACGAGGCCTCCAATTACAGTCGGGCCTATGCCTGGTTTCGGCTGATCAAGTTCGGGACAGGCATGAGGTTCGATGACACGAAAGGCACGCCCAACAGGACGATGGAACTTTGTGAATGGGGTTTGAAGGGCGTGATACACAGGTCGAAGACCTCGGGGCCCGGCAAGCGCATCGTGCTCCTGCCCTTCTACCTCGGCAAGGAGGCGTGGATCTGCCATGAAAATTGGTTGGCAGTCGGATGGAGGTTCTGGAATTCGATGGGCATGGAGGCAGGGATGTTGATGAGGGACTTCATGTTTCCATGGCCGAATAGGGACAGGAGCTGCTTTATCCGGAAGGTCGTGGACTACCCGGTGGCCTCAACAATGTCCCAGGCGCTGTTCGGCGAGATCATGGTGGGTCGGGGCAACGACAGAGGTCCCGTCCTCCTGCCTGGTTTGGGTGTGCTTTGGTCGGAGCATAGCGAGAAGGGCCACCATCCGGACATGGGCTCAGGCAGCTCGCATCCCTGAGGATGTGAGAAAAATGATCGGTCGCTGGAAGCCATCGGCCGATGAGGGCTATGAGAGAAATGTCAAGACGAATGTGGTCCGTTGCCAGAAGGTGATCGCCGCGTTCATACCCTTTGATGAGACTACTGTGATTCAGTTGGTCGAGCAGAGGATGAAGGGCATGGGATACAAGTCATTGGATTGCGATGGTCAGTTGATGAGGCTGATGTCCTTCATGCCCGGCACGGACGCGGCCAAGCCATGTCAGAGGCCATCTTGGACAACCACTGGACACGTTATCCTGGTGAAGGAAGAGGAAGAGGAGACCGGCGAGCAAGGTGAGAAGTCGCCGGTGGCGGAAGTCGTGCTCCAAGATGAAGGTGAGTCGGAGCAGGAGCCGACGGAGGTGCTGCCCGTCGACAAAGTGGCGGGTATGTTTATAGTTTCGATTGTTGGCAGGTCGAAGACCAGGACGCTCCACCGAATAGGGGAGTGCCATAGGCAACCGGGTTTGCATTACGCAAACTTCGAGATCCTCGGGGAAGAAACCCCGGGGAGGGAGCTGTATGACCGGGCATGCAAACAGTGCTTCCGGGAAGGTGGTGCAGGAGAGGTTGGAGCCCTTGAAGATGATTCTTCGGGGAAGTGTCGTCGTCGGAGATGACTGACTCGGATGATCAGGACACGGGATGAACGACGCTGTACAGATGGATAGTCATCCCGTGAAGATGGGACCGCATAAGAGCAAGGGTGCAGCATGGAGAAACGCTGCGGGCGTCTCGGGTGATGTTGCACGGGAAAAGGACAGATTTAGGTAGAGAGGATGAGAGGCAGGCAGGAGGTTAGCATGGACACTTGAAACGAAACGAGTTCGCTGCTGTTTGACTGTGCTTGGAAGTTGTTCTCTGTTTGTCTCTTGAGATTGTTGCATGGGTTTTGTTTTGTGCTTTGATATCTTTGCATGGGCATGTAAGTTCAC